GATGATGATGCAGCATCGTTCCGTTGGGGGACCGTCCTGGAAGTCCTAGCCATGAAAAATGATAAAAACACTTTTGTGAGAAGAGGGAAGGATGTCAAATAGAAAAATTCTGATTCACGGGCTTGCAAGAAAGGTAAAGATGGGAAGTATCTCGCAACCGGTGCATTTATAGGAGTCACTAGGGAAGCAGAAGAGACGAGCCTATGGCAGTTCGTGGGTTTCTCGATTACCGCATCTGACGGCGGCCCTGCACGGTTCTCTGGTGCATGGCATTTAATGCTCTTAGATGGTTGACGTCATGGCAATAATGACCTCAAGAAGATGATTCAATATCGTTTCCTACTACTTCGTTCTAGGAAACGTGGAGACTATCTGTATGCGGTGAAATCAGGGGGATCTATTTCCCGCTTTTAAGGTATAATTCGGAAAATCATGTCAGCACCTCGAGGCTGTGGGATCATGATCGAGTTCCCTATCTCGAGGATCATCCGTGGTTCTGCGGAGACTCCAAGGTTAAGGGGACTGTCCACGACACAACAAAGGTTACAAAGATGGGGGACTCCCGAAGCAAACGGCTAGAGTAAATAGGCACTAGCACCATTCCTAGCCATCCCATCCCCGTTTCTCTACATTCAATACACCCTGTACTATATGGTATTCCCTCTCCTATATAAGGGGAATCCATGCTTCTTTGTAAGGGAAAGATGTCGCTCCATTTCTCCACAAGTGCAACAATATCTCTCTCTTTCTCTTTCTTTCTAACTTATTCATTCTCACTGGCCTGAGGCCACCTCGATATTCATCGTGTTCTAACTTGTCCTCTATTATATAGCTTAGTATTGGCCATAAAGAGCCTTGTATAATTATATCTTCAACTGTTATCCCATCGCCGACTATCCCCAATAGCTCGAGCTCGACCCCGAGGTACTTCATCGATTAGACCTGCGTCCGGGCAGCAGGCCCTGTGGTTCTATTATCATCCCATTTTAGCTTGTAGTTAATCTTTAAACTCCATATTATTAGCATCAAATGCTCTAACGACTAGTTTGTGAATAGATCACTTATTTTTAGAATCCCATTTACAAATTTAATTGTTGTTAACATTTTCACGGTAAACAGTGTGGATTTGGACCACTTACTCACACCTTTTTGCATTTGTTTTAGTCTGAAAATGTGCTAATTACAGGAATGCTAGAAGTTTCAACTCCCATGCTGAAATCTGACTCAAAAAGGAGTGTTCTGAATCACAAGGTAAGAAGGGGCGCAAAACTTAAGAAGTGTGGTCTGCAGAAGAAAGTGTAGACTGCAAAATTCCATTTGCGGTCGCAGGTCAAGAGAAAGAGCCCAGCAGGATTTCAACCAATGTGTAGGCCGCACATGAACTGTGCGGCCACAAAACAAGATTTTGCACTAACTAATGATTCAAAGTTCAGAGAGTGTGCAAAAGACCAATACCTGAACTTTCCCTGAAGTGCGAACCGTACAAGAATTATGGAGACGCAGAAGATGCATTGCAGCCGCAATCCAGAATTGTGCGGCTGCAGAATCCAAGACCCTGCTAGCTGAAGCAATATGCGGACCATACATGAAATTGTAACAATATGGGGCATGCCATGGCGAAACAGTAGTGACCCAAAGGGTGGTAACAATATGGGTCATGCCATGGCCGTTACCACAAGAAGTGGAAGAGGTGGGAATGCACCCAACTCAAGGCAAAGGTAACTTGTTGATGATGATCAAGTAATCCAAGATGAACAGATCCCAAACAATATGGTGAAACCTAATGATGAAGTTCGTATTGATATTGATGATAATGGGGAAGTGACTCAAGAGGAGATGAACCCGGCTAGGGACCACATTATTGACATACCAGAATTGGTAAGTGTAAAAGACTAAGGCATCATTTTCCAAGTCTCCACCTCCATACCCTCAAAGACTGGCCAAGAAAATTGGTGAATCAATTCAAGAGCATTTCAAACGGTGAAGAATCTCTCAATCAACGTGCCATTAGTTGAAGCTTTGGAACAAATGCTCGTTTATGAAGGATCGTGTCACAAAGAAGCGGTCAATGAATATTGAAACCATAAACGTCACTAATCAAGTGAGTGCAATTGCACATTCAATTGCTTCTAAGTTGGAGGATCCCTGTGCTTTCACGATTCCATGTACAATTGGAAGTGCCGAGTTTGCTAAAGCCCTTTGTGATCTTGGGGAAAGTATCAATTTGATGCCCTATTCAATTTTCACGACCTTGCAAATTTTGAAACCAAGACCTATTTCTATGAGATTGCAAATGGCCAACTGTACCATGAAAATGCAGTTGGGTGTGATTGAAGGTGTTTTGGTATATGTTGATAAATTCATTCTTCTGGCGGATTTTGTCATTCTAGATTGTAAAGTTGATTATGAAGTTCCAATTATTCTTGGGAGACCTTTCCTTGATATGGGTAAGGCTCTTTGTAATGTTGAAGCTGTAGAACTCACTATCTGGGTTGGTGATGAAAAAGTGGTATTCCATGTGTGTAAATCCATGCGGTAACCAAATTGCAATGAGGTGTGTTCTTTTATGGATTTGGTGACAGATTTCATTATTGATGATACAAGTGATACAATAAATGTTGGTGATATGTTGGAGGCCATCTTGCTCAACTTTATTGATGATGAGATGGATGGCTTCTTGGAATGTGTGAACTCTTTGCAAGGAATGGGGTCATACAACTATGCACCCCGAAAATTGTCCTTAGATCTTAAAAATAGGACAACTCCTCCTACAAAGCCCTCTACCGAAGAGCCTCCTACCATGGAGTTGAAGCCATTGCCTCCACATCTTCGGTATGAATTTCTTGGTCCTTGTTCTACTTTACCAGTTATTCTTTCCTCTTGTTTGACTAACGTGTAGGTATATTCCACATTGGTAGTGCTACAAATAAGGAAGAAGGTTATTGGATGGAGTTTGGCAGATATTCGGGGGATAAGCCCCATCTTTTGCATGCATAAGATAATGAATGAGGATGGCGTCAAATCATCTATTGAACATCAAAGTAGACTCAATGAGTCTATGCAAGAATTTGTCAAGAAGGAAATTATCAAGTGGTTGGATGTCGGGGTTGTCTACCCCATTTACGATAGTTCATGTACTTCTCCGGTTCAATATGTCCCAAAGAAGGGGGCATGACGGTGATCACCAATGACAAGAATGATGATTCCTACAAGAACGATGACCGGGTAGAGGGTATGTATGAACTATCACGAGCTCAAAAAGGTCACAAAGAAGAATCACTTTCCACTTCCTTTCTTAGATCAAATTCTCGATAGATTGGCCGGCCGTGTTTTCTATTGCTTTCTTGATGGGTTCTCGGGCTACAAGAAATTCTCATTGCTTCGGAAAACCAAGAGAAAACAACATTTACATGTCCCTATGGTACTTTTTCTTTCAAGTGGATGCCATTTGGTTTGTGCATTGCACCAGTGACTTTTCAAAGGTGTATGATGTGTATTTCACAGACATAATGGTGGAATACCTTGAAGTTATCATGGATGACTTCTCGGTAGTGTGAGATTCTTTTCATGATTGTCTTGCAAATTTGGACCAAGTGTTCGCTAGATGTAAAGAAACAAATTTGGTTATCAACTGGGAGAAATGCCATTTCATGGTTGAGGAAGGCATTGTCCTTGGTCGCAAAATCTCAAGGAAGGGTTGTAATTTTTACAAGGAAAAGATTGAGGTAATTTCTAAGCTTCCACCCCCAACTTTGGTGAAAGGAATGTGGAGTTTCTTAGGCCACGCGCGTTTTTACCAGTGCTTCATCAAAGATTTTTCTATGGTAGTGAACCCGTTGTGCAAGCTTCTTGAGAATGATGCTAAGTTTAATTTCAATGATGATTGAGTGAGAGATTTTAAATTGATAAAGCTCAAGTTGACGACTACTCCCATCATCACCGCTCGAAATTGGAGTGTGCCCTTTGAACTCATGTGTGATGCAAGTGATGTAGCGGTTGGGGCCATTTTGGGGCAACGCATTAACAAGATTTTCCATCCGGTCTACCATGCTAGTAAGACCATGAATAGTGCCCGAGTTATCTATACCGTTATGAAGAAAGAGCTCCTTGCTATTGTGTTTTCAATTGAGAAGTTATGTTCGTACTTGATGGGTGCAAACATTATTGTCCACACGGATCATATGGTGCTTCGTTATCTTATGAGAAAAAAGGACTCCAAATCTCGGTTGATGAGATGGATACTTTTGTTGCAAGAATTTTATATTGACATCCAAGATAGGAAAGGCAATGAAAACCAAGTGGTGGGCCACTTGTCTCATTTAAAAAAGGAGGGGAGACTGCATGATGGCCTTGAGATCAATGACTCCTTCCCTGATGAGCAACTATTGGCAATTTCCATGAAAGAGGTTCCATGGTTCATAGATTTAGAAAATTTTCTTGTGTGTGGAATCATTCAAGATGAGTTCTCTTCAAACCAGAGGAAGAAGCTCAAACGGGATTGTCAAGATTATTATTGGGATGAGCCATACCTTTTCCGGATTTGTAAGGATGGGGTGATTAGAAGATGTTTATCGGAAGAATAGCAAGGTGAAATTCATGGGGCTTGTCATTCTTCGCGATATGGTGGTCATCATGGCGGATGAGAACGACAGCCAAAGTGCTTAGTTGTAGTTTTTATTGGCCCACACTTTACAAGGATACAAGTGAGTTAGTGAAAAGATGTGATGAATGTCAATAGGCCGGTGGAATCTCAAAGAAAAATTAAATGCCTCTCACAACCATTTTAGAGATTGATATTTTTGATGTGTGGGGTATTGAGTTCATAGGACCTTTTGTGCTCTCTTGTGGAAACACCTACATCTTGGTTGCGGTGGATGATGTGTCCAAATGATAGTCATTTTTTTAAAGAAAATTTTCACAAGGCTTGGTACTCCGCGTGCAATTTAGTGATGGGGGGTCACACTTTTCCGACAAGTCTTTCAACTCTTTACTTAGAAAGTATGGTGTTTCTCACAAAACGTCATAACTCCCTATCACCCATAAGCTACTGGGAATGTGGAAATCTTCAACCGGGAGATAAGAGTATCTTGTCGAAAATTGTGAATGCTAATCAGACGGATTGGTCCAAGAAGCTTGATGATGCATTATGGGTTTATCAGACGACTTACAAAACACCTATCGAAATGTCTCCATACCGATTAGTGTTCGAGAAAGCTTATCATCTTCCGGCGGAACAAGGTCACCAGGCAATGTGCGCTCTAAAGAAGTTGAATCTTGATTGGGATGTAGCCGCTAGCTTGAGGATTGCACATTTGAATGAATTGGATATGTTCTGGTACCATGCCTATGCAAGTTCATCCTTGTACAAAGAAAAGATAAAATACCTTCATGACAAATATATTTTGAACAAAGAGTTCAAAATGGGTGATCTTGTATTGTTGTTTAACTCAAGGTCGAGGATGTTTTCATGGAAGCTAAAATCCAAGTGAAGTGGTTCTTTTGAAATTGTGGGTGTGACACCTTTTGGTGCATTAGACTTGAAGAATAAAAACAATGAAGTATTTGGAGTCAATGTTCACCGGGTGAAGCACTACTTAGGCAAGTTTGGAGATAGCACGTGGTGGCGGTCATTCACTCCATTTGAGAGTTTTTTGGGTCGTGTCGCGACGTTAAATCGGGCGCTTCTTGGGAGGCAACCCATGTTCTTTTCCTTTTTATTTTGTAGGCTTTTCCTTTTTGTAGTTAGGTGTTATTTGTGTTCTAACTTGATTTGAAGTGTGCTACAAGGATGAGTGTCACATACAAGAACAGTGGAAGAAAATATGGCAAAGTTTTCAAAGGAACGCAAACCGTATTTGATTTGTACAGACCATATATTTGTTGGTGCTATAGAAGATGAGCATTGTGGTCGTATATTATTCTTGCAGACCACACAATTGAAATGTCAAAATACCAACTCTCTAAAGTTTAAGCTTGTTAGTGCGGAGGTCGATCTACGACCGCACGTGAAATCAGCGGTCGTACCAGAAAATGTGCAGATCGTAGAATGGGTTGTGAGAATGTTCATAAAGATGGTATGGTGCAGACTGCACATCAAAATGTGTGGCCGCACTCGTCTCTTCTCCCTTCTCAAATATGTTGGTATAAATAGAACTTTAGACCTCATTTGACCCTTTTCCCACTTTGAGCATAACATTGTTACCCTCCCAATATTTCTTGGAGATTTCAACTATCCACTCACGTAGCCACCTCTATTATTCACTCACTGCACTCACTCTATCTGAAAATGGTTTGATCAAGAGGCTGAGGCGATACTACAAAAAGAAGAGGTGAATCTTCTTGGTCTCTACGCAAAAGTGCCTTACCCCTTGGTCATCCCAAGACGATCCGAAAGAAAAACACAACCGGGCAGAGGGAGAGGTGCAGACCTCTCTGAGTTTATCTCTTATGTCCCATCTAGGAGTCTTCTAGACATTGATGAGTCTCAACAACTGGATGCAGACAGCTACTGCAAAGTTGTCTGACTTGCCTAGTACTGTTGCAGCGCATTCCACTTAACAAGCACCACAAGCCCCTATTGACATTAAGGAGACATTGAAGAAGATTTTGGACAACCAAAAGACTATTATGGACACATTGGTGCAGCACGAGTCAGTTATTGAGGAGCTGAGAAAAGAAGTAAAGAAGATGAGGAAGTCCCATGTAAGCAGGAAATAAGGGGACAAGCTCTGGAGATAGGTGACTAAACTTTCTACAAATGGCGACCTTCCCTTTGAAATGTTGCTTGACCCACACCAGTCTGCCCCATATCCTTCAGTACCATCTGCACTGGTAGCACCAGCTGGCCAGTCTGACAAACCAGACCTTGTTGCCGACACTGCTGAGGCAGTGCGTGCGATGTTTGACAACCCAACCATGCCTAGATTTGATGATGATGAGTTCCAGTTAGCTGGCCCTAAGGGAGATGCCATTGGTGGGGACACCAAGATGTCTAACGATCCTTAGGGAGTTTTCTTCAACCTCTCCTCTTTTACTCTTATTTTTCTAAGCATTGGGGACAATGCTTATTTTATTCGGGGAGGGGGGTGTGGAATTTATTTGACACATCGGTACACTTTGATACATTTGGTCTGTAATAATTTGATGACACTCTTTCTTTTTTTATTTATATTGACCTATCTCTTCTCTCTTCTCTTATGTATAATTATCTCTTTTTAGTAGTATTGTTCATTAGCTTCTTTATCTTTTCAATATTAGTTCTTGTTTTTTTAAGTAGCTTCTTCTTTTTTATGCTTTAGTAGATAATAAGTTTTGGTTTTCTTAACGTCATGGTTCTTTCCAAAGGTAGTTGTTGTGTGAACCGGGTGGCCTGTCCCAATGATGGATGGCATGACAATATTCTTAAGGGAATAAATCAGTTTTTTGTGTTTAGGTAATAATAGTAGTAAAAGTAATGAATAACAATACCTAATCAAGTCATTCTCGAAGAGTTAATCATTCTTCATTTGGTACCAACACATTTAACTACGTGCTTATGGTTGGAGACAAGGTTTTTGAAAGAAATAGCTCTGGTTAGAGACTTTGTGACTCTTGAGTTGACTTTGGTAATCATCGAACGGTTTAATTGGACCATAGTGATCTTTAAACTTGAATGTGGTCGTTGTAGGATCTCGACTCTATCCTCTTTTAAATATAGTTGCGTGAGGGGTGAGATGAATTGTTGCTAGTCCAAGTATACATGCGAATGGTCTAGAAGTTGCCCCGAATATGTTTCAAGCCGAAATTCTAAGTTTTGCTTGGTTTGAGAGGTGATTGTAGCCTTTCCTTGGCCCGTTCGAGCTTTTTATTGCCAACCAATGTCGTTATCTCTATTCAACCCCTTTGAGCCTCTAGCCTTTCTCATTTAATAGCCAAGCAATAAGCCTTTACTCATTTTGTCGTGACCCTCTCTTGGCACCCGGACTTTCCTTAATACTCTTGTGAAACAAGTGACTTAAAACATAAGTTTGGGAGAGAGATTAGGGCTGGGCATATATCGGGTATAACCGATAGCCCGAACCGAAAAAAACTTATTGGGGTATCGATATCGAGTTATTGGGTTAACGATTTAGTGTTTTTTCACTATTGGGTTATCAGTTGGGGCCTCGTTTGCCTAGTTTCTTAACGGGTTAACCGATAAACCAAAAAGATTCAATAAAATTATGATTTTACCCTTAAGTATATAAATACATCTAGGGCTTCATTCTCTCTTTTTCTCCCAATTTTTCCAGCCGCAATCAAGATTGAAGTTTCACAGTTCACTCTTTAGACTCTGATTCAGTTCTTCTTCAAAATTAAATTTTTTGGCAGAAAACAAAAAAAAATGTTATTTATGTTCATGTTACCTGCACAAAAAGAGAAAAGAAATTATCTCTACGAAAAGAGAAGGCAAGAAAAGAAAAAGAGCAAAAAGAAAGATACAAAACGTGAATAAGTAGATGGGTTGATGGATTCAAAAAGAGATAATGATCCCTAACATGAATGATCAAAAAGTGATAAAAACAATGAAATGAACAAAAAAGTGTGATGTTAATGATGATGCCCAATTTTTTCTCATATATTTTTAATACATATATATACTTTCAAAATAACACATATGCAGTTATAAGCATGCATAAGCATTTTTATAATTTTTCTATAATTTTTAAAAGCTCTAATCAATTTATTTCTTCTCCTTTATTTATAAGATATCCACTAATTATCCTTCAAATTATTTTTTTGATAATTTGGTAATTTAAACTCATTATTTATACCATCATAATTGCTTAAATATTTTTTAGTGCATTTATATAATTGTATTTACATTTTTAGGCTAAATTGCACATCTTTGCAATAATAACCCATATTAATGTATAATTACATTATTGATGCATAAAAAGGTGTTTTATATTTTTAAAATGTTAAATAACTATTTCAAATCATTTTATTACACGAAAATATTTTTTATAACCCATTTACTATTTTTATAAATTATGTAACTATTAAAAGTGGTTATTTAAAATCTGGCCTATTGTTATTTCAATTTTAGCCCTATTTCAACATAATACTAGCCCAATTTCAAATTAAATCTATCCGGTCCAGACCCTGAAGACCCGATCCGGCCCCAAACCCTTTAATCTCGGCCGTTGATCATAAGATCAACGGCCACAAACATCCCTTACCTAAAATAACCCAAACGACCCCCCTCCCCCCAAACCCTTTCATTTCCACCATCTGCTGCCCTGAAATCCCCCTCTTCTCTCAAACGCTCTCAAGCTTAACCCTAATCAGACCTCAATGACACTCATCTATGGCTATCTATGATGATTTCTCGCTACCCCCCAGGCCTCTAATGGCCTCCCTCACGTTGGTATTGCCATTTACATGATCCTCAAGGGACCAGGGTCAGTTGGCTTTCATTTATGGACCCTTTCTCGCTTGTTTCAGACTGTTCCAGTGTGATTTCGATTAAGATCGTCCTATATTGACTATGATTTATGGGGTTTTAAGCATGTTTCTTCATCTCTATGTTGTTCACCTCGAAACCCTAATTTCTTTCTTCTGAACCTCTTAGATCTGTACAGATCTGAGATGATTTGGACTTGTTTCATATGAGTTTTACAACAACCTTGAGATTTTTTACAAGAATCGTATGATTTTTAAGTGATTTTTATCTTTTTCTAAACTAGGGTTTCTGGAAATTTCTGTTACAAAATGTTCGATGATTTTTGAGTGTTTGGTCTCCTGCTTCTCATGTGTTTTGACTGATTTTTTAAGCTTGCTACAACCTTAAATCGCTTGTACTAAAAGCCCTAATTTTTTGACGTTCTTCGTTTGGTTTCTGAGTACTGGTATATCGACTATGTTCTTGTTTTGGTTCTTGTGATTTCTATTTAGCCATTTGAATGTCTCGTGGTTTTCTTACCCTAACATGCCTCTACTGAGATTCTTAATTCAACTTTTCACTGATTCTATATGTTTGTGTTCATCCTGACTACTCATGTTAAGACCTATATCATTCTCCTTGAATCCTTGTCGATTTAACTATCTGTTTTGTTAAAATTATGTGTCGAATCCTGACTATTCATTTTTTACCATATTTTATCTGCTAAACTTGCTGACTCTTTCGTGATTTTCTCTCTAACAGATCCTTATTAGGGTTCTAACCTAATTTTTTCCGACTAAGTTCTATGTTTCTGTGAAATTTTACTTAGTATATTTTCTATTTATGGGAACGGATATATATTCTTTCTAGAAATCAGTATTACTTTGAAATTCTGGCTGATTCATTACTACATTGAAGATTGGTGTGCATATACTTTATTTGTTTCCTTGTTTATAACTTTAATTGGTCGTGTCTGCCTTAATTTCTTGCCCGTATAACTTTGGGATTCTTACTGATTCTTTACTTGGTATGGTTTGGTTCTTTTTGCCTTAATTAAACCCATGTTGTTACCATTTGGCTAATTGCCCCTAATTAAAGGAGTCTATTCTGAACTCCTTATATGATTGGATTCTGATTGCCCTTAATTGCTGATTTCTAATTCCTTTACCTATTTGACTCTACCCTCGAACTGCTATATAAGCACTCTCCTCTGCTACTTATGATATTCACTGGTCTAGCCGGCTGAAAGCCAAGGCTAAATATTGGAACTTCATCTGCTTTATATTTTGTACTCTTTTCTTCAACTGGTATGTCTTTAGTTAAGTTTTGAAATCCAAACCCTATGTGTTTCATTCCTGCACTAGTTCATCAGTTATGAAATCAACTTGTATTCCTATTTACTTCTTTGCTCAGCATGTCTAAACTCTCTCCTGTTCAATGTATGCTTTATATTTTGCACTCTTTCCTGCTTATTCCTTTGCCTAGCATGTCTAAACTGTATGTGTAATCCTGTTCAAGACATGTCAGGCTTTCTATATTACAACTGTGATCTATGTCTTAACTATTTAATGTCTATGACTAGCCTGCTAATGTCCCTAAGATCCTAAGTGTTTATGCAGTCTAGTTGACTATATGTTTCCTTTATACTCTATCCATGTACCCCAATGTGACTTTTATGTGTCCCAATCCCTTTATCCCCGTGTGAGATCTGTTTGTTAAGTATTTTCTGAATACGGATATTTTTTTATGACCAATTGATTGCCTGCTATTTTGGTACTCTTTTCAAACTGTCTTTTACCACCAAACTATTTCCTATTTCTGAAAAACCTTTTTTTACGTCTAAAGTCATCTCTGTACTATTTTTAAAACATTTTCAAAACTATGTCAAGCACTCACACTTCACTCTTAGAATACAAGGTTCTGCCCCTCTGATATGTGTACTACCTTGAGATCCTTAAGCTTTTTTTAGACTCTGGCATGTCAGAGCTGGACTTTTCACACTGCACCTAAATCAGTTATTGTTTGAGAAAAGGCCTAGGTGTGAGCACTGCCTGGGATCCTTGAGGTCCTTAAGGAACTCTGACACACCTAGACATGAAATTGGCTATGGAACTTTGGGCA